GAACACAAGTCTGAACTACCTTGTTGACATCATTGTTAAAATGCAACGTTTTACCTGTATCCAACACTTTATTGACAATGTCTAAAGAGACTAGAAAAAAACAAAACTGAGACTAGCTCTCCTGGTTGCGTGTAGCCATCTGTGGGCTGATATGGGAGGAAGTGTGAGCTTGAGCTGCCTTTGGTTTTGTTAACGTTAGCCAGAGCTCTTCGGATGTGCTCCTAGATGCACAGGTTAAATTAACTGGTGCATCCTAATGATTTCTATTTAGAAATTCCTTCTGAGCATTTGTTTCAGTTGTCAAAAAGTTGATTTTACGTACTCTTTACCACTGAGGTCAAAGTGGACGATAAAGATGTTTCTAGAATATTGCTTTCTTGTTGCTGGGCTGGCATTCTGCCTCAGTCCATTTATAGTCTGTCTTTTAGAGTTTATCAGGACTAAAAGTGTCGGTAAAGGTGTGAAGACTCCTGTAATGTGTTTACTGTTACAGAGGAAATACACGACCAAGACAAAAAGCTATTTTAAAAAATCAGAACATACTCCATCAATACAGCAACATAACACGCTCATACTCTACTATAACTGACTAAAGTTCATTATGACCATTTTTCATTTCATTTATTTCATACTGAGAGCGCTTAGTCTTTTATTTTATAAGTGCCTCAGGGTACAGTCAGCCTGCACCCTCATGGGCCTCGAGTCAAAACATCAGACTGGAACAGCCCAATACATTTCTTTCAGTTTCTCAGTCGTCTGTCCTGTCAGGTAACTGAGCAGAATGAAAAGCAACTGCTTTGCTATGAAACAGTGGTTTAGTGCAATGGCATATTTTGCTCTTTGCAAGAATGAATGATTGCATGCTGACAACAGCAGAAAGGACACCAGGACACCGAAGCATCAACTTCTATTTTCTGAGGTTTCACATTCACATTTCATTATGAAAAACAGGCCATGTAATAAAAGTCAGGAGGAAGGAAAAAACTGTGCAGGGAAGTTCCACAGAATCGCTTCTGTAAAAGTGCCCGATGCAAATATTCCTCCAGGGCCAAACAGCAGGCCCAGTGTGAACTCATAAAGCAGGCGGAGCTAATCCAGCATCTATTAAAGGATTGAGACCGACACTTCAGATTTAGAGACATGCACCTTCTGGGAGAAAAGCCAGCCAAGCATGTCGGTGAGTTCTCTTCTCAACCACTTAGACTACAAAACAAATGATAAGATACTTTTTTTAAAAGTGTGAGAAATTACCCGTCTCAGTACAAAGACAGATGATCCAGGCAGTCCACTGACCAACTGTAGGGGATCAATGGATCACACAGTTCCTATATTGTGAACAAAAGTGTCGATTCTGATCATTTTTGAAATGTCACACATTCAGTCACCTCAAGTTGAGGTGACCCAGTGCACTTGTGATGTCATTAAGGCCTTTTTTTTTACGAGCTGGCTTCTGCTAGCCATGACCTACATCTTCACGATCCATGCAACTTCCCATTAAATGACAACATGAGATAGCAAAGCCCATTTTCTACTAGTACCTACTCAACTACTGTCATTTTCTACTACCACCTAATGAGTTTGGGGTCACACAGCAACATGACTGAAATTCCTGTGAAATCATTTGTATGTAACACAAACAAAGCAACAATGGACCACACCAAGGCGATGGTACACCTGCTGCTCAGACTATGGCTTTGTGTCAGACCAGTGTTGGTTGTTGTCCAGCCGTTTCCCTCAGTGCCAGGTTTCAAAAATGGCGGTTTGATTTTTGTGAAGGAGTCCCTCTCATGATGCCATTGACTGGCCAATCGGTTGACCCCGGCCGTGCAGGTAGTTGAAAGACAAAAGCAACTGCTACCCAATGCAAAAGTCGAGTCATGTAGGCACTAGTGGAAAAAGGCTACATTTTTACAGTGACAGCAATTTCAATAAGGCGGCCTCTGTTACATAAACATATGAAGGAGCTCAAGTTCTATAACTTTCACACCGTCCTGCTAACATTTCTCCACTGTTACCTTCATCAACTCAGTGAAAGAAATGAGCCTTCTGCTCTGACAATATCTGGAACTCGCACAAAATGATTGTGTGCAGCTGTCGTCTGTGAGCAGAATTAACGTTGCTTAGTTTTCACTAAGCTGCTTCCTTTCTAGGTCTCCTCTTACTGCCTCACCCACAGTGAGCCTGCACCTGCTCAGCAGTGATGAGTGTGATGATTGTTTATGGGGCTTTACGTCATGGATACATGAACCTGACTGGACAGGAAACGACAATACACAATATGCACATCACTGCATGGTCAGCCAGTCAGACTGCACATCCAGTGTCTATATCTATCTATCTATATTTTTTTCATCTATATGGACTTTCAGACTAGCATGAAAGTTAAAGGTTTCTAATTATGACATTTTAAATATATCATTTGAGACAGCAGTCTAAAAAAGTGCAATATTCTTATGTATTTCAGTAAAGCATGAACACTGGACACAGACCTTCTCCCCTCTAAAACATCTTACAGGGATTGTAAGGCTTACCGCAGCACAAGAGACACTTCACTAACAAGTCCTCTGAAAAGTCTTTGGTTGTTCCCCTGTAATGGTGCATTCATGTGCTGCTAAAATTACAGGGAAACATCTGCTTCACATCTCCAAAAACTGGCATGAATTCCTACTTAAGTCCAAAAAAAACCCCATCTTGGAAAGATTGTCGGAGTTTTGGTACAGGAGCTCCCGAGCTGTCACACACAACGAGACGACAGATGTTTTATTAATGGTGCTAATGTGTGTATCAAATGACATTTTTTCTAACAATTAAGTGGTTATATTTCATTAGGCTTTTTCCATTATTTACTAATATTTAATATTTCCACATAGTGACCTGAATTTGTTTTTGTAACACTTTCTAAGTCAAAGACAAACAAAGGCAACATCTTTGTTACATCGAGTGCTTTTTACATTTAAACTTAAATCACGTGAACCCAGCGAAGAGGGCAGAAGACTTCACCATACAGGAAATCCAAGCACCGGAGGAGCACATGAGTGCAGGGTCTCCAGCAGAGACGAGCCTGCTGGAGAGGATTGGTAAAGCACCCCTCTTTCCAACCAAACCCCCAGATGTCGTTCTTTCAAAGCTGGTAGACTTCAGACCTGGCCCATTAGTAATGTAAGTGACATCACTTGTGGAAATTTACTAGACTACACACAGCTCCGGAAAGGTCTGCGTTACGCACACAGCAATACTGCCCAACAATTTGAAACAGACTGTGTGTAAAATCAATGACATAAGTTATTTGCGGCAAACCTCGTTAGTTAATATAACTTGTGTTCTCTGAAATCATTTTTAGAAGAAAGCTCTACGGTCTGATATTATACACTGAAACCTGGGCGCAGAGTTGTGCTTCTCTTGAACTTGAGCATGTGAAGCAGAAGGCGAGTCCAGCGCGCCCGTTTCTTTTCAGCGGGACATCCCATTCAACAGAAAAGCCGCGGAGGAGCGGAGCGGCTCTGCTGCTGCCTCCACACGGGAGGGAAGGAGGCGGCGGGACCCGGCTATTGTTCCAGCGAGAACAAAGATAAACGCATAAGTAATGAGGGCCCGGTTTCGTCTTGGCACCTTAAACGTTACTAACTTATACCAGCACACAGAGTGCAAGTTTTACAAGGGAACGTGCTGATGGCTAAAATAAAGAGTAGCGATGACGGCGAGTCGCCCCAAGGATTACAGCACACCGGAGCGGGTCAGGAGTGATGCCCTCTGCTCTGGGCTCCAAAACAATCGGGAAGGCTAGTCCACGAGCTAAACACTCGAACCCGTCCATCGGGTGTCTCTAGACAACACAAAGTCTATTTGTTTACATATGAATATATTGAACATATTTGTGAGACAAAATACACGTTGGTGAGATAAGAGGGGGGAAAACAGGGGGAAAACACAAAAAGCAAATGTGCGGGACGTTGGCGCATCACCGCTGAGGCCAGGCTAGTGGCATTGTTTAACTAGCATTAAAGTACACATTACTTAGCTACCCTGCTTACTGATGCGCTTAAGCTACGTTGTATGTGTTACGTTATACGTTTCCCGTGGTCTTCAAAGCACTGAACTCAAAGCACTGAGCTTAAAGTTAGCAACATTAAAACACCTACGGGACGGTGATAAAACGGGGTTTTAAGAGCTTCCTCGTGACAAGCAGGAGGTGGCGACGTGGTCTCTCAAGATGCGTTAGCTTCTCGGCTACTAACGCTGGCAGTTTAGCCTGTAAGCATTAACGCTGCGATAGCATTAGCGGCGCGGCAGTCGAGTCAGGCCGACCATCTGCGGCAACTGCGGAAAAGGGTCAACTCACCATTGGAGAGATTGAGGAGGGCAGCATCTTGTGATGTCTTCACTTCTAACCGCAGCGGCTGCTGCTCTGAGTGCCGCTGTATATCTCCATTCGCGTCTCCAATGGAGAGAAGCCGCACGCCACGGAATACCGAGACCGCCATCTTCGCTCTGGAAGTAGAGACAGATCTGTGGCGCTCACATCCAACCAAGCACTGCTCTCTGCTGGAGGCACGCTGGGCACCAACGCGATAAGCCTTTGCAACAGTGCCACCTGGCGGCTAGAAATGGGTATTGCGTAAACACCATCGCGCAATACGGCATGTGAAATCAAATTTTACCATGGAGATTAAAATATATCTATTATTGACGATTTAAAAAAAATTAAAAACCAAACGAAAACTGTACTTCCGCCCGAAACCCACAGCGGGCTATTTGTTTTTAGGGTCTCTTTATCGCCATGTTACACAAGAGCAAACACGGTATCTCACCCCCTCCCCCTAACCACCATCGTCACCACCTGCACCCCCTCTCACTCACACACAGACACATGCCGTAATAGTAAAAACAAAACCTTTGATCAGCACCATAGAGATTAACCACAGACAGTAACACATTTTTCTAGCTCAGGTTATAAACTTACCTGCTTCTTCAACTAGACCAGCACAAGCCCAACACAGATTCAGCCCAACTAATATAACATAAAGACGACTGTAATGTCTGTAAGCAGGCAACAGAGAGAAGCCCATTACCTGCAGGTGCTCTCCGACTGTATGGGGTCAGCGCACCACAAAACCACTGAGACAATCATTTCTAGTGGACCAGCTTCTAGATGTATTTGTGTGGGTGCATATTTTCAACATATAAGAGAAGAGAAGATAGAACTTTATTAATCTCTCGGGTGGATTCCTCTGGGAAATTCGGTAATATGAGTGGGCACAGTGTTTCATAATTAAATAACCCATCAGAACTTTATTTTTTAGGCTTTGCTCGAGGCCAAAGTCCTGGCCTTGTACTTTATTTGAACATCACTTTTTTGCTTTGGCTTTCTAAACACGATGAACTCCCTGAAAAACAAATTGTTGCATTGTTGAGTTTAACCAATTCATGGGTATTTTCCAAAAATGACCAAGAGCAGGGGCAGGAATTACAAGTAATATACGTATTTCCCAGCATGCATCAGCACTGCAACATCAACACTTCTCAGAAAAGGCACTTATTTTTAATCAATGGAGCATGAACTGATTGCTCGAACATCCGAAATGCAGATTCTCAAGAAGAGCCTGCAACAAGAAAAATAAAGTTAGACTTTGGTTCAGAAGATAGAAGCACAACTTAAACATACAGCAGAACTCTAATCCATGCTCAATAATCCAGGTAAGTAAAACCCAGAGAGTTGATTCAGCTCATCTGGACACGTTTTCAGTGAGAGAAACGTGTCATCACTCATCTGAGTTTCAGCTTACTGCAGGTTTCCCCAACCTTCTAAACACTGCAGATGCACAGTGAGTGAAACACGCATCACAGGCTAACATGGAGCCACAGGCTCAGCTTTAGGCCTGTTAACGTCATGACCACCGATCAATGGCGATGAGTACTATTCATGATAGTGATTCATTAACTCTTGCGTCCGCTTCCCCATTTCCATGATAGCCATTTGCTTTTCACATCCTAAACACTGACCACTACATTATTAATAATGTATAAAAATAGTACATCTTCATTTTTTGAAGATATCTTTTGTACATTTTTAAAAAAACGGAGAAAGCAAACGGAAAGAAAACAAAGTACATACAGATTGTTAGGGTAATAATTTAATGTGATACATGCATAGTAGCAATTAAATGACAGTGCAAGCAACAGTAGGTGTAAAAAACACAAGGGCCCATATCTGGCACATTTCATTACACTGTAAATAAAGTCACCATAAAACATTTGGTGTTCTTTATGTTATGATATGAATTCAAATACATTTTAGAGAGAGCTTTCTGACACAAACTGACGGCTGGTACGCTCTGAGTCCAATGAGCTTCATTTATGCTCAGTTAGTTCCTTCATATCTGAATTAACTCGTGGTAAAAACAGATGATTACAGACAGTCAGCTTCTGACTGATGATGGGAATACATGCGTCAAACTCAGTTGTTCAGAAATTGAGTTATATTGAATGTTTTCCTCTAGTGCTTGAAAGAATTGACAAAAAATGAATATATATAAATAAAGAAATAAAGATTAAAACGATTGTTTTACACCTGTTCTGGACATAGACTAAAGATAAATGGAGCCACTGTGATGTTGCTCAGTGGGTTTGTTTGAAGTTATATTTGGATGAGAGTGTGACATGTAATCTACTAACACTAGCAGTTAGCTGCTCGTAGTGTTAAGTAACATAAAACATGTTTGAATAGTCTGAGTAAACACATTTATTTCTGTTTTAAATCAAACTAAATGACATTTGGAGCCAAGTGGTCATTAGAGGAACTTCTGTTTCTTGATTTTTAAAGTCTAGACTCTAGAGCAGGGGTGGGCAACTCCAGGCCTCGAGGGCCGGTGTCCTGCAGGTTTTAGATCTCACCTTGGGTCAACACACCTGAATCACACGATTAGTTCGTTACCAGGCCTCTGGAGAACTTCAGGACATGTTGAGGAGCTAATTTAGCCATTTAAATCAGCTGTGTTGGTTCAAGGACACATCTAAAACCTGCAGGACACCGGCCCTCGAGGCCTGGAGTTGCCCACCCCTGCTCTAGAGGTTGCTGCTTGATTCTGGGAAACATCTATAAATGGGAATAATCTGCTTAGGTTTGTATTTTAAGGTGTAATTTTCATGAGGATTTTCTAGTCATGGTGTTTTCAGCTGTGTGAGTTTTCATTCGGTTTAATTCAGTTGTATTTTATTTATATAGTGCCAAATACAATTGCACATCCACTGATAATGACTGTTAAAAATGTTATTCCACAGGTCTTCAAAACAGAAATGCAGAATGCAGAAACACACAAATAATTAAAATAAGATTGGCTAAATGTTTCACCTGAAATCATTATCATTTAATCAACTCCTTCACTGACTGGGTCTTCGTTATCTTCAACAGTGGCGCCGCACATGACACAAATCCACGTTAGAACAATGAGACTGCCTGAATGCACTCTACAGATCTACAAAGAGAACAAGTAGATTTAGCTCAGAGGGATACATCTTGTGCTCTAATAAATAACAAGCTTATTGTTTAGCATTTCCAAAATTAAAAGAGCACAAATATATATATAAAAACTCATACCTCAGAGGAGGACACATGACTTGGGAGGCCGGAAAGGATTGTCACTGGAGGGCACCCCCGTGAGGAGAGGGTCTTTGTGGGCATTTTGCAAACAGAAGTTTTTCAGTTCTGCAGCAGCCTGAGAAACCTGAAAGCAAGTGTTAGTGTTAACTAATACTGTTAGAAGTACTATAACTAAAAGAAGAGTCCTACAATAACTCCCCAGAAATATTCACAGTATGCGATGTGGAGTTTTGGTTGTTTTTGTTTTGTTGGTGTAACAGGGTCATAAATCACATTGTTATAATTACACAAAATGTGTTCTAAACCCCCAAACTG